TGCTGCAATGTCGAAGAGCCAACACCCAATCATTTTACTATTTTATACCCGTATAATGGGATGTAACAATAAAGTAATCTTAAATCTTGAATTGCTGTTTTGTCCACGGATTTAGTAATTCACAAATTGCTGAGGCTCTTCGAGAAAAGAACGCAATCACTTTAATCACAGAGGTCAGAACAGCATGTGACATTTTTAGTCACTTAAAAAGCCATGCATAATTAGAAATTATATATATATTTTTTTTGTATTACATCAATGTGCCTTGCTCATTTTTATTTATTCAAACTGCTCATCTAGAAGCATTTTGACAGACACAATTATTTTTGCTCTTCTTAAAGTGAGACATGGAAAATATCCTGTGATGATGTTAGAGATCATACAGTATGTTGAGGTAGAACAAGGGCCGGAGCACATCGCTTATTTATGATGCACGGCTGAATGCTTTATGCGCACTTTATGTCGATTTTAATTGTGCTTCTTCGTTTTTCATTATCATAGTCATTTGTCGTCGGATGCCGTCGAAGATACCGATACCGTACTTTCCCCTTTGCCGTCACACATCCGTATACACACGTTTATTAATTTGTTAACTTCCACACCAAATGAAAACAAAACCGAGAGTCATTAAGCATGCTTGAAGGCACATGTCTGCAATAAATAAACAGCGAGGGGACAAAAAAAAAAAAACGCTGTCACCTCGTCCACAACAGAACACATCTGAGTGAGAGCTAATCAATTTGGGAGTTGGCAGTGTCACAAAAAAAAAACAAAAAAAAAACACTTTGCTTACTTAAAGCTCATTAACAAGTGGTGGCATGCAAGTTTTGACGCAAATTGATGAAGTGCTGATTCGGCAACAGATACAGCACTTAGGTAAACCCGTATGTTTCTGGTCTGCAGGGGCCAACGCCAAGCTTCGCTATCAGATCACATCGGGGAACACAGGAGGGGTGTTTGATGTGGAACCGGAGGTGGGAACCATCTTCATTACCCAGACCCTGGACTACGAGCAGACCAAGAGGTGTGTGTGTGTGTGTGGGGATATATATATAAAGTCACGACCCAAAAATAATTACAGTATTTATTTTGCCATATTGCAGTAATCACCTTTCATGTACTTTTAAAAAACATAGCAAACAAAGAGCTGCAACTATTGGGGGTGAACTCGCCATTGAAACATGAATTCACATTGAAACATTAGTTAATTGATGGACTTATTTCTAAAGATTAAGGTTGAGAATCACTGATTTAAATCATACATGGTGCATTGACTATTTTATATATTTATATATAGGTAGTTTTGTCTTCATATTCACTGCATCTCGATGCAGTTTCAACCGAAAATTAACTCAAAAATGAACATACTACACCCGCCCCACCAACCACACATTTGTGTTGCGTATTTACGATCAACACACCTCGCTGTACAAGCTCTGATGCGTTGCGCAGGTACAAGCTGCATGTGGTGGCGTCGGACGGCAAGTGGGAGGACGCCACCGCGGTGGAGGTGAGCGTGGTGAACAAGAACGACGAGGCGCCCGTGTTCACCGTCAACGAATACTACGGCAGCGTCACCGAGGAGCTGGACGGCTCGCCGGTCTTCGTGTTGCAGGTATGCGTCACGAACTTGCCACATGTGTGCGTCGCAAAAAAGGGTTTGCGTTTGCGTCTTGAGCCCTGCTTGCGTTGAAAGAATCCAACAGGTGTGCCAAAAGGCATTTGGAAATGCATGTAGTAAACCTGGCTTGGGCAGAAACTCAACAAATCAGTAGGTTGCATTAAAAAAACGGCAACTTTTTTTAACGGCATTAGGCATTAGGGTATAAGCTATACTGGATGCTTAGTATTGGCTCAATATTCTCTATGCTACATACTACTATAGCATGTAGCATAGTATGTACTATAGTAAGTACTATAGTATGTAGCATAGTATGTACTATAGTGAGTACTATAGTATGTAGCATAGTATGCTATAGGCATAGCATGCACTGCAGTAACGCAGGCCACATATGCCCACATATGCAATTGGGTACTGGAATAACACACACCACATATACAATTGTTATTTAGCAGACACGTTTATCCACAGTGACTTCATAGGCTTAGTGTGAATTCAGATACATGCCATTGTGGAGTAGGTTTCCCCGAGGCTGGCTGTGATAGAGGCTCAACGTTTACAGGCCGTGCACATTAAGCTTTGTTTGCATTACCGCAATTGTGGAAGCACTCGGATTCGAAACAGCTTGATGATAATCTACCCTACACAATGGATAAACTCCTTTATAATAATAAGTCAGAGACAAGCGCCCCTCAGCAGCCCAAGAAAGAGGAAAAGCGAGCAGGTTCAAAGCTTCTCGCTGTGAGCCAGCGGTGCAAACCGCCGTGCCACCGTGTCGCCCACATGAGTTGAACCCAGAGATAAACTTCCATTTTGCCATCGCAAGCACGGTTCAGGTGTAGCGCGATGAGATGGATTTTCATCCTGATGAAAAATTTATAGCAATTCAACCACTCTAATATTATAGTGATGGAGTCCGGTGGACCAGCCTCCGTTGCGATGAGTCCCAGCGATGGTGCGCTTAGCAACGGGGTGCAGCTGGTTCTGTTTCGCTCCTGCGGATTTATAGTTACGCTACAGTTGCCAATTTCCAATAATCATCTCTAAGAAAAGGCAAGGAGAAGTCAATGTAAAGCTGATCTGAGCTGATCCGACCAATGGGGATCATTCGTTGCTAAGCCCGGTGTATGCGGTAATTTTTTTTTTTTTGTTTCACACGTGGGAGAGTGAGGAAAAACAAGGAGGAATCTATACTTTCCATTTGTTCTCGTGTATCTCTTTGGGTTTCTCCTCAACTCTCTACAACACCTTTCCTGTTCAAAAGTTTGCTGAAGTTTAAGTTTACAGTCTCCCCCTTCGTTCTCCATCATATGAAAATGCCAGGAGCTGCCAAGCTATACTATCAAATTAGAGGTTCTTGTTATTTGTTTCTCCTGTACACCACAGCGTAAACCTAATGTTTTTTATTGATTTTGCCATGGGATCCCCGCATGAGATCCCCACACCTTCCCACTTTAAAAAAGACACACTGCCCAACGGGCTCACGCAAGGAATGATGGGTAGCGAGACGCGCTAATGCTACAGAGCTGTTGAAAGATAGTGTGAACGGTGACAGATACGATTGCAAAACGGGTGATCTCCATTACACAAGCTGACATTGTGCACCGGTTCCCCGCTGAGTTTTGACAGTTTAAAAGCTAAACAAGGAAAGTTCAGTTAGTGTGAAGCAAATGTACCAACGCTGTCAGCCTCTTCATCTCCGAACATGAAAAGGTACAAAAAGGTTAATTTGTGGCTCCCATGTTGGCATTGCAATTACCATGCTAAACAGAAACACTCGCCCTTGTGTGAGATCCCTGCAGATGTGTTACTGGGTATCAGTGTGAGTGTGTGTGTGTGTGTGTGTGTGTGTGTGTGTGTGTGTGGGGAGGGGGGGAAGGTTGCTAGGGGTAGTTCATAGAGACAGTTGGCGTGACCGGTGCGATGCGCATCCAGAGTGGAGTCATCGCTCCCAAGCAACGGCACTTCAATAATTAAATTGTGAAGAAAACTCAATCAAAATATGCCCCTCTCCCTCCCGCTCCCTACCCGCTACCGTGACGTTTTAAGGTGACGGCGTCCGACCCGGACAAGGACGCCAACCAGGAGGCGCTGCGCTACTCCCTGCACGGCCAGGGCGCCGACAGCGAGTTCGTCATCGACAAGGGCACGGGCAAGATCTACGCCCAGCGGACGCTGGACCGCGAGGAGCGCACCGTGTGGCGCTTCGTCGTCATGGCGACGGACGAGGGCGGCGAGGGCCTCACGGGCTTCACGGACGTCATCATCAACGTGTGGGACATCAACGACAACGCGCCCGTCTTCACGTGCACGCCCAGCTGCCACGGGCGACGTGGCGGAGAACTCGGCGGCGGGCACGTCGGTGATGGAGATGACCGCCACGGACCTGGACGACTCGGCCGTGGGCCACAACGCCGTGCTGTCCTACCGCATCGTGGGCTGCCTGGACGCCGGCGCCGGCGCCGACGGCGACGGCGCGGCGGACGGAGGCCTCTCGGAGGCCCGCGCGGACATGTTCTCCATCAACGGCACCACGGGGACCATCGCGGTGGCCGTGCCGGGGCTGGACCGGGAGCAGACGGGACTCCTACCTGCTGGTGGTGGAGGCCCGGGACGGCGGCGGGATGACCGGCACGGGGACGGCCACCATCCGGGTCAAGGACGTCAACGACCACGCGCCCGTCTTCGCGGAGCACGCCTGCCTGGCCAGGGTCTCGGAGAAGGCCGACATCAACGCAGAGGTGGGTGGGAGAGCTCACCCCCCTGTTCTGATGTGTTCCTGTAGTCACACCCTTTCATGTTGGAAACAATGAAATACATAAGAAATATATATATATATATATATATATATATATATATATATATATATATATATATATATATATATATATACGCCATTTGGTGGAGGTTTTTATGTTACGCATCTTAGCACATTCATTTTTTAGCATGGGTGGTCTCAGTGGGATCACCCATGCGGAGAAGGCTGATATCAACGCAGAGGTGGGTGGAAGAGCTCACCCCTGTTCTGATGTGTTCCTGTAGTCACACCCTTTCATGTTGGAAACAATGAAATACATAAGAAATATATATATATATATATATATATATATATATATATATATATATACGCCATTTGGTGGAGGTCTTTATGTTACGCATCTTAGCACATTCATTTTTTAGCATGGGTGGTCTCAGTGGGATCACCCATGCGGAGAAGGCTGATATCAACGCAGAGGTGGGTGGAAGAGCTCACCCCTGTTCTGATGTGTTCCTGTAGTCACACCCTTTCATGTTGGAAAAAAAAATACATAAGAAATATATATATATATATATATGCCATTTGGTGGAGGCTTTTATCTTACACGTCTTAGCGCGTGGGTGGTCCCAGTGGGAATCGAACCCCGAACCCTGACAACGTTAATGCCATGCTCTACCAGTTGAGCAAGTCAGGACAACTACCTCAACTAACAAAGTTATTGAAATAGAAGATTTCACTGATGAATGACGTACAGTACGTCTAAAATGCCAAATTGTCGATGAATAAAGAAAGTGCACAGATAATATAGTTAGATAGATACAGTTTTAGATATAGTTTACCTATGCCAACACGCGGCGTTACAACAACATAATACAGCCACGTAGTGCAGGCGAAGCGGGAGCGGAGAAAAGACCAGGGTGTATTTGTGTTTGGTCTCCAGGTGCTGGGCCTCTCGGCGCTGGACCGGGACACCGGGGAGAAACGCCCAGCTGACCTTCAGCCGTGGTGGCTGGCGACCCGGAGCAGAAGTTCTACATGGTCAGCCACCGGCAGGAGCAGCGAGGGAGCCTGCGGCTCAAGAAGAGGCTGGACTACGAGCGGCCCAGCGAGCAGAGATTCAATCTCACCTTGAAGGTGCTCGTCTTCCTCCGAACACGCAGTCCTGAGCGCCAAAAAAAACCAAAAAAACAAAAAAACTACAAATAAATATAAGAAAAAAGAATCCTTGACCGAAGGTTATCCTCACATGCTGAACCACCTGCTGAACTATGGTTGTATTATCTGGCATTTGTAGCTTTAATGTTGAATGAAAGAATTGGGTCCATGAAACAAAATCCTAATAAATATGTAAATACAGTGCACGTGGAGGATCTTCAGAGAACCTGCAATGTGGAATATATTATATTCCCCTGAAAGATTCAATAAAAAGATACAACCTCAATTCCCAGTTTTCACAAACAGTACACAGCTTAGTATCAGTCCACTGCTTTCTCAAACCGCTCTTCTTAATGTGTTTCAGAGTGAACAAAAGAAATGTAAATGAAACCGCAATAATGATACATGTATAGAGTGGGATTAAGACAAGTCCGCTGTTGCAGGTTGAAGACCTGGACTTCTCCAGCCCTCCTGCACTGCGTGGTGGAGGTAGAGGGACTACAATGACCACGCTCTGTCTTCAATCCCGCACTTCCTCTCCCTGGGCCCGCTGCCCGAGGACATCGCCATGGGAACCAGCGTCGCGCGGCTGGCGGCCAGCGACTCCGACTCGGGCCAGAACAGGGACCTCACCTACAGCCTCCTGGAAGAGTCGGACCCGGACGGTACGTTCGCCATCGACCAAACGGGCGTGCTCACCGTGGCCCGGCCGCTGGATCGCGAGACCTCGTCTCAGCATCACTTGATCGTCATGGCGACCGACCACGGGATCCCCCCTCTAACGGGCAGCGCCACGGTCCAGCTGTCGCTGTTGGATGTGAACGATAATGGGCCAGAGTTTGAGGCTGTGTACGCTCCCATTGTCTTCGAAAATGTCTTCGGACCTCAGGTAGGTTGGACTGATTCATTGATTGTTTACTGGATGGATGGGTGAACAGGACATATGGTAATGTAATCAGTAAGAGAAACAAAATACATTAAAGTGTCTATATAGATAGACAGCTAGACAGACAGATAGTACAATAGTTCACGATAATAATAATAATAATAATAATAATAATAATAATAATAATAAAGTGAACATATATTAAAAATAAACATATGTACAACATTTAAATTTAAATGAAAATGGTATATGTGACTCATATTTGAGTCACATATACCATTGAGATTTGTTAATGATACATGAAGTGTAACAGAT